GAAAGAAAATGTATTAAGAGAAAATTTATAGAAAATATTCCGCTGTCTTTCCTTTTTTGCGCAATTTACGCAATTTTCCGCTTTCATAATGAAAATTGTATTAAACTCTTGAAATTCTTGAAAAATTATTGAACTGGAAAAGCTTAGACCTTTTACGCAATTAACCTTTTACTTAATATCAAGTTAGTTAAAAATGATTTCCAATTCACTTACGGAACGTGATTGAAAATTTGCTCTTTTTTCACCTCTTAACTATTCTAGACATGATGTTCAACTTGATGGCCAAGTGAATTGAAAGTTAAATGGGGGGATGGAATGGGCAAGCAGAAAAAACAAGCTAAGATGGCGGGGGACTATGCACAAACAGAAGAGATGAATAGATTGAGAAACGGACTGAGGCAAGGAAAAAATAAATGGAAGGAAGGTTGATCGGGAGTATGAAGGAGTCAGCCTATGAAAATCTAATAAACATGATATCACGTTAATTCAAAATCTATAATCTTTACCGAGATTGTGAATTTTTGGGCATTGCAAGCGGAATTACATGATGTCTTCTGTGGTCAAGCATAAAAACCATTCAATTATTTTCCAAGCATGCTTTGCAAAATAGATTATTACTTGAAGTTGATTTATCTTAGGAATCTCCTTCTTCGCAAAATTGGCCAAAGACATAAACGGGCACTACATCATGGTGAAATCAAATTATATGAAATCTATTTCAACGTCTCAGCCCGTTCATCGAGGAGCTATTCTTTTATGCAACCAAGTCAATGTAGACTCAATTATGAATTAATCAATTCACTTAGGGTCCTTCTATCAAGTTTACAGGCTAATGTCTCTATCGGATTCTGCACGTCACATCAAAACATAAAATCTTCTTAATGCTCATGGATTGCCAGTGTTATAACTAAACTGAACAAGTAAAAGCGTCATAGTTGTTCACGGTCCAACGTTAAACTCCCTACCTCGCTTAATGCAGTTATTCATATATCAATTTTTCAAAGTAAGGCATTATGCGGGAAACATTCGAAAATTTCAATCCGATTCGAAAAAATTTCAATCACCTTTCACCCTTCAGACGAAGCACTTCAGAATGTATTAACTCTTATAAAAATATCTCAAAAATCTGACCTATACGTTGAAAGCAGAAATACATGGATAGACATCATATGAACAAATGGACAGACAGACAGGCAAATTATCAATTCAGGATCATTTTCTGGTATAATAAAATGTAGGTCTATATTAAGTCATTCAAAGTTAATATACCTGTATCGCAAGTGATGTAGGATATAGAAATTCAATTAAGAGGTCGCGTTACAATTATGCAGCAAAGTGAGCAACAAGTGTTTATAGGTCACAAATTGCTAAGCTTTAACAAATTTGCGCCGCTTTAGCAGGACACTATTATTTCAGGGCGTAACTAACCGCGTAATCAGTACATATCTAAATACCCACGGGTCCCGTTTTACATAATCAGGTTAGATTTGAAATAAATATAATAAAGGAAAACTTTAACTTATACTCTTAGTTACCATAACGCATTCTGTTTTAATCCTAGAGTTTATTCCTTTTCCCTATACCGATAACAAGCATAAAATTTCCTTAATGAAATTATGGTTATTGACACCCTTCAAGTATCTTTTAAAATACCGGCTTATACTTATGTACCCACTTTCTTGTTCAGTTAAATATCATAAATAGTTAATGTAGTCTCCTTAGTGCCAGCTATAAAATCATAAACTCGCGAAAGTTCACCAACTGCGCACCGAAATCAACGATTGTTAAATTCCATGACTGAAATTTAAGTATCTACGTAAGCAAAGCAGTGTGCAGATAATATTTTAATATTTTTTTCTCTATGATGATCTGAAAAATGATGTAAACTATTTATTGTGTATTGAGTCAATTTTTTTTGTTAATAACCTGAAGCAGAGTGCTGCTCAGAAGGAAAGTAGGAGAAGAACGACGATAAGGGTGCGGGTCATAGAATGAATGTTACGTGTTATGATTTTACGGCTGCAGTATTAACTATAATTGCTACAACAACGAATTACTTTCTTCCCATATTTTATATATTTTTTACATTTTTAAATATTTTTATCGCATAACATTTATGTCGTTCGTTCTTGATTTTTATATCCATTTCATATGATCACATCAAAAAAAAATATTTTGTTCCTTTGAAGAAACTACACAATATTGCCCGAATAACAATAACAAGACTCATAATGATACCTTTAAACTACATAGCAAAGTCAAAAGTGCATATTATAATGATTGACTCATTTCATTTGCAACACCTCGTTATTGTAATGACCCCTAAATTTGGAGTTCGACTTTTGCTATTTATTTGATTTGTAAGATTGAAGTAGTACTTAAACTGTACTAAAAACACGCAAGTGAGGAGCGAAAAAGAAAATTAGCACTGCCAACTACTACTAAGTACTGGAAATCACTGCCAACGATTTGAGGGTTGGCTTAATCGATCCGTTTGACCGGTGAGGAGCGTCTAAGCATTTCACGCACAACAGTCTTCTATAGAATACTTTATATAAAATTTGCGGATTTTAACTATTTTGGGACATTGTTCTGAAATCAATCAAAATGTAATCAAGAAAGTAAGTACGTATACAATACACAATTGTTTTGAGAAGAATCGATTTCATTTTTTCAATATAAAGGCTTCTCTTTTGCATTCAAGTTTTCGTGCGAAAAAGTAGAAGAATATTAAATGTTTATGCTCAAATGAGCTTTCGATAGTAGACTTCATCTTACAGTAACTCCATTTGGGTTTCAACTTCCATTTATAAACTAACAAACTTCCTTCTTATTCTTCTAAAAATTCAGCAGATCAACAGCTTCACAGCTGATTCACTGTGGAGTGGAGAAAAGGTACAAGGCGGCCACGAAGTTCTTTGTTTGAACACGAATACAGTTAGACATAAAATATCTGTTAGACCTTAATATACTGTCCAGTATGCCGACCTTCAAAATATTAAGTTTACATTGATATTCGATTTTTAAAACAACAATTCTCAGATTCTGCTTATTTTTTCAAGGCCATAGTACCTTATGTAAAATCAACATGGAATATAATATGGTAACGCAAACAATTAGTAGAAAATGAATACCGATTAATAAGACTTAGAATACGATGTTCAAAGTCAAACATACACGATTGCAATCGCGAAGAAACTGTAATTGGGCGCTATCCTTTAAGTTCATCATCATCAGAGGAATCGTTTTTGTGAGAGCAGACAAGTTGCTTGCATTAGGAGATACTTTGGTTGGCGGCTTTTTATTTAAGCAATTCAAAAATAGCTAGTGTATCAGTTGTACTACACTGTCGAAAAAATACGACTAATTTGCCTCTTTCTTCTTTAAATCTATTTATTATTCAATATTCCTTATTAACCGTTTGGTTTGCCACAATAATCGAAAAAAATTTTTAACATTAGTTTGATCTTTGAGCGTCTTTGGTATTAGTACATAGAAGATCAAAAGTCAATCAATGAACCTAAAGTACACCCTTTGTTACTCTGACAGCTCGAGTAGCCGAGTTTACGGATTCTCCTCCGCAAATCCTACATGCATTTTGCTACAAGATTCGGTCGCACTCGTTATACAAATGAATGACAGGAAAGACAAGTTTTTTCTCATGAACCCGAAGAAGACGACGCATGCGTCTTCAATAGATCCTAAGAGGAATTTAATTTCTTAAAAAATATACCAATAAGTAAAAAGATGGAAATGATACAATATGTCAACTTAACAATTCGAAACATTCGATTTTTTAGCAGACATAACTATTTATATTTGTCCCTTCCCATGTCTGTCTCTTTCAAACATCGAATTTGTCTTTAGAACTTTTCGAGTCGCAAAAATTGCAAGGTCTTATAGAGACGCCCAAGCGAGAAACTGGACATAAGTAAGCCAACTATGCAGTCCTTATAATTGGAAAAATGATATGATTTGAAGAAAACTTGACATTCAATTTTATTACCGTAATCAATAAAAAGATCCCAATGCAAAGATCGATAACCATAATTGAATCTTGTTGGTCTCTTCTGGCATCTGAATTAAAATAAAAGATACAATTTTTATGTATTCATGCTTTCGTTCAGAACTTCAAACGAATGTGAATATGAACCCACTTAAAATGTTCTCCATTAAAACAAAATCAATCCTCACTTAAGCTTATCTTTTTGAAAAACCATAAATGAATTTTCTAAATTTTATGTTTTCGCACGAATCAAATTAATTAAATTTTGGAATTAAAACAATAGTAACAATAGAAAGAATTTTAGATTTCAAAAGACTTGTGAAATGATTTCAAAAGATTGCTTAGATATTGCATACAATAAGAAATAGACCGGCACGTACATGCTTTGTCACAAAAATCGTTCAACACTTACACAAACACACGCACACATCCACATCTTACTCGTACATGCACATAAATATAAATAAAATATAAAACGAGTATAAGAAAGGACAAGTTGACAGTCATAAATGCAACGCTATTGTCAACGAATTTTTTCCATCGTTTTGACAGTCATGGATTTTATAGGGATTTTCTAAAGAGATTTTTCCAGAATATTTTCCTTACACGTGTGTTATTTATATAATAAGCAACAAGAATTGAATTTAAATTTTTCATTCGTGAGATTTTCCTAGAGGCGAAAGCATCTACACAGCTCTAAAAGGGACATCGTGTACGGTTAGTGAAAGTAACAAGATATTTGGCAAAGAATTTTGCGCTCTTTGCCTTTAGGCTGAAAAATGCTCGAGTTTTTCTCTTTCCTTCCCATTTGACTTGACATCTTTTTAAGTTCATGTCAACTTCAATTTTTGAAACCAAATAGTTTTAAACTTAAAATGACTTGGCTTTGTGAAAAAACTACATTTGGTAATTACGAAAACCTCCTTAGGATTAAAAGCTTCTTTGCTTAAGTTTTAAAATTTGCGGCTGCTTTTAGCCAACAACAAAAGCTTACCTGAATATTTTCAATCTCATCCATGGTCTCTTCATTGCTGCTGCTGCTGCTGCTGCTGCTTCTGCTGCCTTGAATTGCACTTGCATCCTTTATTGTTTGTTGTTGTTGTGTTTGATGTTTATTTTGCAATAAACGCCTAAAGTCTTCTTCCTGTTGTTGGGTCTCTTCACGTAACTCTTGTATATAAACTTCGGTTTGTTGTTGACGCTCTTTAACTGTAGCTAATTCAAGTTTAAGTTGTTGAAAATCGCTACGTATTGTTGCCAAATCTTCCCAACTTTGTGTGCGCGTTGTTACGTCTCGCATAGCGTTGCTGGCAATTTGCTGTAACTCTACAAGTTGTTTACGCAACTCGCCAACAGACTGCTGTAACCATTCAATGGTGAGACGTTCATTATTGCCTCCTAAATGCTTCGTCTGCAAGGACTGGACTTCTTGCCTGTAACGGAAACAATGGAGAACGTGGTTGACAGATGAGCAAATATTTAATGTACATATATACACACATATATATAGATGTTATGGTTTACATCTAACCCGGAAGGAAATGATTATTTGCAATATACAAGTAATCCGGTAGAAAATCATTATTTACAGATTAGTTCGTTCTCACATATATACACATATTGAAATACTTATTGCGCTACATAAAGTGATATTGAATTGAATATCAATTTAATATGAAAAAATTCACAGTTCAAGATTTACATGAAAATTTCCATAATATACATGAAGGCTGTCTTACATAAAATATTTCATTGCATAGCATAACGACATTAAATTCTTTTTATAAAGTCATCGTTTGGACATGGATTTAAAAAAAAAAATTAAAAAAAAGAGGCATTTGCCAAAACATTTCTAAAAATTTCGAAAAGTCAATTTAATGTTAATTTGATGTTCAAACATGACAAGCAAAAGATTAAATATAGGCAAAGTTTTTAATTTCCATTTCAATAACAAACCAATCGTCCACTGCGTAGGAATATCAACAAAAGTTGATATCTGCATTAAACAGCAGATATGAAAGAACACACATATATATATCATTTTATCGGAAAATGTAGTAATAATAAACTTTTGATTATTCATTTACAACGAAATGGAATAAATTGAAATTTTACATAAATAACTTTTTTGAAATCCTTCATTTTATTTAAAATTCTCTCTACTATTATTTGTAATGGAAAACAGAGCAGTTATGTCAACAGTTCAATAATTGACCATTAAAACCAATATCATTTACATAATTGTAAAGAACATTTGCCTGCCTTTAAGCATAAAACAATTCCACACAATACAGCCTACCTTTAAATATAGATAATTATGAAATTTATCAAATTTTATCGAGCAATGGATGACTTTGGGAAGATGTTTGCATCACTGACAATAAAATAAAATAACGCTTCATTTAAGATTGATGCTTTGCAACAGATAATTTTCACAAAATATATTCGACACATTGTGTAAGATGCGGATAAGCCGAGTCACTTGCAGGAAATTGTCCTGCTAGACAATATCAAGTAAGTATCCAGTCAAATATGCCAAATATGCCTTAAGCCATACACTCTACTTCGCATAGAGAGAAGGAGCCATCATTATAAGGCCCTCCTGCCTGACAATGTTTATAAAGGAAAATTGTCTATAAGTTTTGTGGCTAATTTCAAAGCTAAAGTTGCAATTAAATTTTCATTTGTAAGTCTCAACACATGAATAAAACAAAAACCAAAATTCAAACACAAAAACTATTCCTTGCTTCCAATAATTTAATTACACTGCAATGAACTAACACATACAGTTCATACTAAGCAAATTACATATCGGATAAACATGACGTAATACATACTCAAATTTTATAAAGTTGTAATGAATGCTTAATAAAGCATTTCATGCAAACTATTTTGAAAATAAATGTATGAGGGCATGATTGAAAAATGTCAAAATTTATTATCTTTATTTTGCCATATTTCCTTCCAGCCACAAGCATTTTGCGGTGATGCACATAAATTTGCAAATGAAATGTAAATATCAAGATGTGTTAGTTCTTATGAACAAGTAAATAACAAAAAAAAGAGACATAATATGTAAAATTTGATTGACAGATGGATAGATTGACTGAGTGATTGATTGACATAACAAATGGTAGAATGACTGCTACGAAAAGTATCTACGTTGAAGCTAAAAAAAGCCTAAAAGGCAACTATATACGATGTTTCTTATATGGACAAGAAAAGACAAAATAATTTTTTTTTAAGCGAAAAAATCATTTTTATAGCCACCAACGAAGAACAAAGGTATATTCATCTTGGCGAAACGTTGGGAACACCCACAAGGCAGCACTAGATATTAACTTTAAATTTGACATAAATGTTGGAAATCCTTTAATGCAGATTGGCCAATCCGATCAAAAGACGCGGTCGTGGTACAACGTAAGGTGGAAACAAACAAAAATTTCTTTACTCATTACTCATAAGTTACATAATTAGATATATATGAGTTTTCAGATTGTATTTGTTTTCTTCATTTTTCGTCACTTTTCTTTTAACTTTAATCGCGCCATGATATACCGTTGAGACCAATATTTGAACTTTTATACTGCCTTTCCAAAAAATATAAGAACTGTATATAATATTTTATGTTTATATGTAGCTCCTGTTTGGATACATAAATCTACTTAAGGTAACAATAAGGTGTTGATTATTATATTCACGATTTCCATAAACGACTGAGTCACAAAGTGATATTATTCCTTATAACGATACGTAGTACGATTCAAGTTAAGAAAAATGTGTTGAGTGCATGAGAAGATTTAGCCAGAGCCGTATCTAATTTTGTTATTTGCTCTCTTTTTTTAAACTTCCAAGTAAAAGCTACTTACATTATTGCACTATAATATCTTTTGCAAAATAAGAAATTTTCTTTTCCTTTGCGAGACTTTGAGCTTCTACAAATGCAGCCGATAATCTTTTAGTGATTCCGCCATTTCTTTTCTCTCAAGCCAAAATTCAATAATTTTTATAATACGCATCTTCCTGATTATCGGTCAAATTTCAATAGCAAATTTTGTCACATCTGATAGAATCGCTTCACTTATCCTCCCGCTCAAGTCAAGAGCACAGACAGGCGAAACCGATTGGACAACGAGATATGCTCAAATCACGACTATACACTCTTAAAGAAACTTCTAATATTTACCTGCTTGTAAGTAAGCAGTCATCCTTCAAGGGAAATAACCCCAAAATGCAAAAAATATGCAAAGTACTTAACTCGTTAACTTAAAAACCGCAGCAGATAACAACATGAAATATAAAGTAAACTACTACGAGGAATTTGATTTCAGAAAAAAAATCTCGATCTTTTTACTAATGACAACAACAATAACTTTTGTTCTCAAAAAGCCAAATAGCTTTAATATATCAAGTCAAGTGACGGGCATCCACAATTCGCTCCAAATTGTGCATAAATTTCCGATCTGTTAAATTTCAACAAATAAAATAATGCCTTTGTTTATTGTTTCATTCAGAAAATTTTTTTAAAAATAATTGTGCAACAAATTTTCTTTCCATTTGACTGCATACTATTTTTGAACAGTAAAAATGTAAAAATAAGAACTACTCATAAAAACATTTCATATTATTCCTTCTCTTTTCAAATCAAATAAAAAAAAAAAGAATAGATTTTTGAAAAAAAATATTTTAATAAAGTTTCTCCGCGCTCTCGATTAGGAGATTTCTTTGCAATTCAACTCAACGTTTCATAAAATTTGTTGGCCTATTTATAAAATAAACAAATTGCCAACAAATTATAACATACTTTAAGGTAATTTATATAATAATAAATAAGAAAAGTTCCTGATTATAAGTTTATCTTAAGTAATTTTACTAAACGTTTTTGCATACAAATTCTAATAGTAAAAAAAAAATAAAAAAGAGGAAGAAACATAACTTTTCGCATGTCCGTGTATGTTGGTGACATAAAGAGAATTGAAAAATTTCGAGGGAAATACTGTAAAAACTTTTTTCGGTTTTTAATGGCTTTTTTGTGCAAACTTTTTAATAAAGCATACATTTCGGCAAACTTTATCATGTGTTAATGCATAATGCAAACCACATAAACTAAAAAAAAAAAAAATCGTTCACACCAATTACTTGAAAATTCTCTTTTGATCCCTTTTGAATGTGTTTTGTTTTGTGCTTTGCATTTGTTGTTTTTTCTTTTTTTTTTTTGCGACTAACTATTTTCGAAGAGTGTGCAATTACTATACAGTGTTATGTAATATCAAAAATATGTACAATTGCCTAAATGTTGATCATGAAAAAAAAGTTTCAAATTGAAAGTTTTTTAATTACTGGTTTTTAAAAAAATATATGCAAAGGTGTAAATTGACGTCACTTTTTCTCTCTTCAACAACATTAAACTTTTTAAAGAATTTATATTTTCTGAAGAAATATTTTTGTTTAGATATCGTTTCGTTTTTTATTTTCCTAGTGAGAAGAAAATAAAAGTTCTCCCTTTCCTTGAGCAATTAAATAAATGAATATTTAAGTAAATTTATGGTTTTTGAGAAGAAAACATCTATACATGTAGTTAACCGCTTAAACACTACAGCAAAGGCCCATGTGCATGCTTTAAATTATTAATTGAGGTAAACATTCTCAAATATCCTAAAGACAGGATGTGAACACACACATAGAATACATAAAATAAAGATAAACATAAAAAAAAAAGAAAAGATGGAAAACATTTACTTAAGCATTCTAATTGTGTATATAAATATTATTCTCCTCTCTTCTATTAAAAATAAACACTACATACTTATCCTCCCTTTTTCAAAATCTTCCAGTTTGCTGGTTTTGCAGCTTAGGGAAAACATGCGATAGCAATATAAAAATAATATCTATGTAAATATTCTATTGCACCCCGGTAAGACATCCTACGCAGAAATACAATTCGTAAATACATTCTACATTGCTGGTGGCATTGGTGTTAAATAATAATAATAAATAGTCGCGAAAATACTCGTCCGCACATTTCACGTGATAAGATATAATGCTGAGCTTACAAAAAGTTACATAAGAAATCTATAGCACGTCATTCAAAAAGTTTTTAGGGTGACATATAAATACTGTCACTATTGTCAGTAGAACTACTATGCTACTTTCGTTTTTATGAAACAATCGAAAAATCTGAGTATCGTATAAGCGTAACATGAAATGCGCCATATATCCACCACCTTAAAGAGATACATGCGCCCATAATTATGAAAATGCTTTAAGTCATATATTGCTTGTTTCGAGATATTTAATGAATAGCATTTCAATAAATTAAAAATTAAATTTATATTATTCGGCGTTTTAATTTAGATTTTTAATAGTCTTGATTTGTCTTAGTTTAGTGGTCTTAATTTTGTGTGAATTTTATACAAAAAAGTTGTTTTTGACCTTTGAATTGACTTAGACCATATTCAAAATTAACTGCCTGTCCTATAAATGACTTAACCCAGTAAAAAAAGCAGTAAAGTATGAGTTTTATTAGGAACAATAATTTTAATGAAATAATCCACAACGAGTTCTTAAGATTCTTAAAATGGTTTTGAAAAACTGGAGGGATGTATAGTAGTAAACATATGTTTTTCTTGCATTACTAGACAAGTGGTGGTATATAATGGAAATAATTTAATGTTTCCGTATATTTTTGCTCTTCCCTTTTTAGGCTTCTTTATTTTCATTTCTCTCAAACCAACATCACATTCGGTCATTCGGTAGAAAGGTATGAGCAGATACCAAAAATTTGTGGTCTATCGTAATAGTTATACCCTCCATATGCGTTAATATGCATGATACCACATCCTGTGCACCTCTTAAAGCAGTAATTTCATCCCATACCTCTTGACATTGGCATCGTGAAAATTTGGGAAACCCGAATTGTATACGTAAGTATTTCGCTTATAATAAGCAAACAAAACAAAAATTTTTGGATATAAGAGTGCTTTTTGCAAATCAAGTGAGAATCCACAATATTCCCAGGCATTGCCTTTTGCTGTTTTCTGGTCCTCTGTACGACCTAGTCCTCTAGCTCGTTCTGCATTTTGCGAATGGATATCGTGACTTTGCCTGAGATAAAATTTCTCTTCCTCATTACTGCGTGCTTCGATTTTTCCCTTCAGTAAGTCGAGGCTGTGTTCATATAATTTCTTTACATTTTTAAATAAGACCTCTTTGTTAATTAAAACTAAAAGAATTCCATGCAATGTTAAAATTGCAAACGATGTCTAATGATTCATTTTTGATGATATCGTAAAAATTGCATTGAATTAATTTAGTTTAGAATAAAGTGTCGTGAAATAGCTGATAAACCCATTTTTTTAAATTTTGACTTAGACTACTTTCATAATTATGGGCTCCTATAAAGATTGCAACCTATTCTGTTAATTGCATGTTCTTATAGGATTGTAAAGGATATATAGCTGCCGTAGCCCGTAAGCTAACTAATGCTTCCTTACTTTAAACATGTTTAAGAAACTTTCACCTTAGACTTGGCGTTTAAAGGAAAGCATACGTTCAGATCATTTTCTTGATTTCTACCTTAGATTTTATTGTCATAGTTGCTTAAAGATTACCCACGTGGCACCACAGCAAACGACAACGCATTCTAGCGATAGCCTTACGTCATTATAGTCCGTCATAGATAATTTTTAAATTTTTGACCTACACAGTTTCCTATTTGTGCTTTAAGATGTTGCAAAAGGAAAAGAAAATATGTATAAACAAGATGTTTACTGGATATAACCACGAATTGGCGATAACCATCAATTTTTTTCTTAATTGCTTAGTTGTTGATCAAATTCGTTTTCTGACTATACAAAAAGTAATCTTAAAAATATGTACCCTAGTTCAGCATGTTATGCTAACAAGTTTACATATTTTATGTTTTCCCTCACTATTTCCGTAAGTGCGGAACGATGATCGGTAGATAGATCCTTAAGGAAACCTTGTAAATGTCAGATTTAGAATAACAAAAAATTGCGCCTAAAACCATGTGGACGGACAAAGGAGGCTAATTTGATTCAAAACAAAAAAAACAAAGAAAATTTCTTGATTCTCCTTACATTTTGTTACAAACTTGATGGCATATATAACTCATCGATGTTCACTGGTGGTGACCGCAATAATAACGTAACCGTTTCGCTAAGTAGAAAATATTGTTTTTGTTTTTTTTTTTCTTTCTTTCTTCTTTCTTTGCGTTGCATAAGTTTGGGATATTTTTAAGAAAATTAAAAAAATTGCATTCTCTACATACAAAACTAACGAAACGTAAAGAAGATATAATTCGTCTGTTGCAGTTTCGTAAATAAGTTTTAAATAATGCGATATTTTTAAGCGATTGGATTAAATCTCTTCACACCGTTCAAAAAGAATGTGGTGAAAGAGAAAAAGCTTTAAAATGATATTTAACGCATGGATGGGAAATATTCGCGTTAATAATAAAATGTCTTCGACCATTTGTAACTGAGACCTTTAAAGAAAGCTTTGTTGGAGTTGATACTTTTAGGTCAAACGGTCTTATCTTTAATTGACCATTATCGAGGGGATGATACGCGATACATATAAGAAATATAACATTATTTCACTATTTCAAGCAACAGTAAAACAATAAATGCTATGTCATGCCTTCAATTAGTATATAAATACGGTGATCGCCAGCAAGAAGGAAGCGGACAAAGAGGGATATGACCTGGGAGGTATGGAAGACATATACCCGATCGATAAGTGCTATGACTTTATTGATTGAGCAATTATCACATTTATGCCCGCAAGCCAGTCGTGATTAAAATATGACCTGCCGTGCAGGGGAATTGTTGTTGACTATGCCGGCCCGATATTCGCGCTTCTTTCTACTTGCTTTGATGTGGTATTAAGAAAAAGACAATGTTTCAATATTTTTTTTTTTGGAATTTTTCTGCAAATTTCTATTCCCCTAATATGGGTGTGTTAGTAAGGGAATACACGCAACCGTCTATTTATGACTATCCCTTCTTTTTCAATTTTAAAAATTGTTTTATCTTTTTATGGCAATTTATTGAAGATAAGTTTTTATTGACTTGTATATAAAATCTGCAGTTTCTCTACTTTCACAACAATGTTTTGTAAAATAAAATTATGTCAAAAATGGTTTCAAGCATTTTAGTCAATTAACTGTGTCGACGACATAGGCGTACATCCATCAAACACAGGATATGTGTAATATGAAATTAGCTTTTAATGCAACGATTTGACAAAATGAGAAAAATATTCTCTAAAGTACATTATTATGCTCAACATACATTCATAATGATAAAATTTTACGATGAAAGGAGGAAGCCGCGCTAATAGCTAAAATAACTGATTCGATCCCGCCTTTAAGTCACAACACTGTATAAAATGTAAAAAATCTGCCTCTTTCGTAGAAGGTCGCATTAGCCTACAAGTTGCTTTTTATTTAAAGCAATACATTTCTTAAAAGTCTACTTAATTATGAACTTAAAAGTTGATGGTAATTAAATTAGCTTCAATTTGGGCAACGGGTATTCCTTTAATAGAAGATATCCTCAAAAGGTGCTGCAATGAAGTGTAAGAAACTCCAAGTAAATCGTAGTCAAATAAGCAATCAAGTCGAAAACAATTTTTACTTCTTTGCTAGGTATGATCTTGACTAGACTCCCGTTTGAACCTTATGACTATGTAAGCATCCTTTATAGAGCTTTAAAAAAGTAAAAAATTAATAGAAACCTTTAATCCTCATCGAGTATCGGCAAACGTAGAGAACGAAGAGGAAGGAAAAGAAGATAGTAAGAAAGCAAATAAAAAACTCATAGTCTCGTCAAGCATCGCGTAAGGAGAAGAAAAGAAATCTCAGGTAACTGAAATTTTTTTTTGCGACCTAATACTTTTAAAGATATGTGGTAGATATTGAAAACTCTATTACTCTCTGTCAGTAGCCTACATTTCAATAATCCAACTCCGAATATAAACAATTTTTCATGATTACAAAGTTATTTCACCGTTTAAAGGTTGCTTTCGTCAAACTTCACTTTACGGAAAAACTATATATAAACAAAGAGGTATAGTCGCGTTGCAACAATGAAAATATTTGTTCTTCATTTTCTCATTTACCTTAATTGCTCCAATTGTTTGGATAAATCCCAATTGTTATTATCGCTATTCTTTACGTTGGCATTAATTTTGGCAGCAATTGAATTTTGTTTTCGTTCCTTTTCCATGGTAATCCTTAGAGATTTTAATAAATTACGTTCCAATAATTCGTAATCCTCGCGACGACGTGTCATCAAAACATTCAATTGCTTTGATAACAAGCGAACCTGATCTTCTAATGATAACGATTTTAAAGATGAGGAAGCTGTTAATGATGAATCATTATCATCATTATTATCTAAATCACTTAAATTAATATTGAAATCATTTTCATCATCATTATCATCATTGTCAACATCGTCATTACTATTGTGATTAACCATATCTTCAACACTTTCATTGTCATCGACAAAACGTAACAGTTCAGCACTTGAAGAATCATTATACTCTTCGGTATTGTTTTCCTGTTCGTCAGTCTTTGTGCCAAGGGAATCCGGGGCGGAGACGGAGAGATTCGTCGATGCATTTTTAATAGCCAATGGCTTAGTTTTTTTAGGCACGTCGCGCAACACGTTGTTTATGTTATTAAGTACCGAAGCATTGCTAGACGCAAGGCACGCGCTCAAAACAAACACAATAACAACTAAAGTAATTATTGCCTTAGGGCCACGTTCGAAAACAATAACCGGCGTTTGTCGCATTTTGAATATACGGTTCATTTAAAACAAAAAAAAAACAAAAAAAAAAACAAAGAAATGTGAATTTCACGATACAGGATTTTTTCAAGTACAGGAAAAAAAAATTAAATAAAAAACGTTTTTTTTCCAAATTTTTATTTTTTCATCTCCTTTTCTTTTTTTAATAAAACTTTCTTTCATCTAAATTTTCTTGCAAATATTTTTTCACTTTTTCTTTACAAAATTTGTATTTAGTAGTTAGGTATTTGTATATATATATGAATATATATATTTATATATATATTTATGCATATAAATATATGTGCACTTAGGCCTCGCGTTTATTCAAATCAATACGATGACTTACGACTGCTGAGATAGGACTAAAGTTGTCTTGTTGCAATGTTCGTCCTTTTATACCAAAACCGGCTTAACATCAAACGCATGGACGTTCGCTCTTTGCTTTGCAAATTCGTGCTAAGAGATCCCTGTCGCAGTCACAAATGAATGAACAGGTTGTTTGAACAATTGATGAACAGAAAAATAAACGAGAGCATTATGCGAAAGACATTCGAAAACGTTTCGGTTAAGAGAGTTCTAGTCAGAAACCACTGCAAGTAAGGCTCTGTTTTTAAGAGAACATAAAAATGCCGGCACAATTTTGATCTATTATTGTTTTTATTTATTTTGTTGCAAACTTTCTTTTTTTGTTCTTATTATTATTAAATAAATATTATCGTTTAGTTACTCAGCATTATTAGCTTTTTAGTTATATGGTTATTCCCTATTTATTTCAAATTCTTTCAAAACGAGACGAAAGAATCTTAGAAAGCGCGCTTTTTCTTTTCAATGACGTGCAGCAGACACTGATTGAAATTTTAGAAACATTCTCCCTGTAGACTTAGCAAAAAGCTGTTCTTAATGGCCGATAGATAAGTAAGTAAGCTGATGACGAATCTTCTTCTTTTTGTCTTAATATGTGCATTTTTTTTTTTTTATTAGATGGCCAATCAGCTAGGGGATGCCCCTTGCAGCCGGTATGGCTACAACCAAAGTAAACGCTACGTTATTGAGATTTGCGCCCGCGAACACAGAGTGCAATCTATGTTACAATAATGAGCAGATGAATCAATCACATACTTACATTTCCATGCAACAAACCTTATAACTTCTCTCCCGGGATTGTCGAAAAAATGTTGAAAGGTAGACTCTAAGCATTTACGAAGGGCGACTACTTTGATGATATCTCATTTGCTGATGTGCCATTTGACTCTCTTATCGGCTAGTTTGTCCATTTGTTGGTGTTTTTAAAAATTTTGTAACATTTCAAAGCTTATGATCATCTTTTTTGTTGGAGGGATAAGTTTCGTGGCAAAATTGTTACCTGTCTGTTATTGAAAATCAAGAAGACGGTGTTCCAGTTCATTTGTAGTGCGACTTGAACTAGTTTTACTAGTTGCGGTTCTGTTTTGTTTCAAAATTTTTTTTAATCTTCTTAGAGGCGATCATCAGAACTTTATTCTAATTTCCTGATCGTGTTTCAACCGAGCTTGATGAAAAATGCTGCCTAGATAATCGTGTTAGTAAAATTCGGTTCCCGTCCACGTTTAGTTCTGACCCTGATATAAAATAATTTATATCAGTTTTTAGTTAGAAAGGATTATCTTGTGGTTTTTGAGGTGAGAAAAGGGATTTGTGACGAAGTGAGACGGATAGTGATCATCAGACCCTAATATGGGAATACTCGAATAAACAAGAAAATACGGGAGATCCGGGATTTTCCTTAGATCACTTCGCCAGAAGGTGCGTCTACCAGTAGAAAGCGGGGAACACCGGTTTTTTGTAAACGCTTGTAAGGATCCTTTCCGATAGGATTTTTGTGCCTTGAACGCCACCAAAGATGTTTACCATTGAAGTCACCTCGGACGATGAATTTCTCCTTTTAGAAAGAAATTAATATCACAATCATTCCTCTTGATATTATGTCGTGGAGGCAAATAAATAGAAAATATTGAAAGATCAGAATTGTCGCATTTAGTTTTGAATTCCAGCAGCTTGAAGGTGAAACTTACTATATTTATTCAGGACGACATAATTTCTTAAAGTTTTAACCAAAATCACTGATCCATGAACGAATCTAATTGTTTATCCCATTTCACTGGCATTTCCACTGTCATATGTTGGCATTGGGGCCTTCAATAATCATTAGACAAAATTTATCATAAATTTTGTGATCCTATATTAAAAATTTGCTGTTCCGACACATTAATCATAATAAAACTCTCCAAAATCAATTTTCTTATGAAACACTTTCCGAAAACCGGAGTGAATAAAACGCTTGTAACTTATGGCGTTTCTGTGATGCTGCTCAAAATACGTCTGTTAACTGATTATGAATGATTATTTGATAAGTAGTTAGTAGGCGGTGAGTTAGTCCCGATCAGTATTTTATTAGTGTACAGTTAAATGTTGATTTCTTAAGTTAATAAGCGTAGAGTTTTAGGTAGAGTTTTCTTTGGTCGTAACTATGTTTAATGCTTACCCGGGGGAGGTATGCCCGATTCGACACATACCCGCTATAATACGGCTGCCATCGTCACCTGGTCACATGATTAATTGGGCATATTAAGAAAAAAATGTATACATATACATGTCTACATTGCAATTAACGTAATCAAGGAATATAAATAAGCCTACCTCTGCACAAACTACAAAATTAAAGCAAAGAATGAAATAAAATCAGTGTAACTCTCTGATGCATATTAATTGCTAGGAAGTTGTTGCAGGCAATTGTTGCTGCAGTTTTCCAATCACTTCTTTTAGAAAACAAGTGTACATATACATATCTAGAATGTACGTATGTTCTTTGTAATTGCAAAAATATAAACTTATCAGTAAATAGGATTCAGTAAGAGAATTAGTTTTACAGTATATTCATATTTATAAAAATGCAGACCAAAACAGTTTAAGTCAATGAAATAGAGCATCATTCCTGAAAAAGTGATAGCAAGCGATGCCGGTCTTGGTTATGATTTCTGCACAAATACGTTTTCTTACATCTCTAGTGTTTCGACAGTCGTGCGCAAAGCTCTCTTTTAGTTGTACTGAAAACATTGCGCTCCATTTCTCTTCAACTTTAATAAATTTACTAATGTTGCGTATGCACCGTCTGCAAACTAAAAACCTGGTGTGTTTTTTTAAGTTCTCTTAATCACAAGGACAATAATCGTATAACACCTTCGCGGACCAGCCAAATAGCAGAGAAAATAAAGAAATAATTAGTGCTGCAGAGTATTGCGCTTTCCTTATTCTCTCTTTCTTTTATTAAAAACTACGTATCGGGCATCTCTTAAATGTATGAAAAGCGTTCGATTGATCTCTGCGAATACACTGAGAGTACTACAAGTACTTGTAAGAAACATAAGCCATATAATTGAATCAGTAGCGCAGACAGGGAGCAAAACAATAATCACAACCAAGGCCAGATGACTTTAACAATTTTCTTCCTACAATTGGTTTATTGTTGTTTTATTTTCGTTAATATTTTCTTTTCCTTTTGAATGTTTGAACGCTCTATAGACAATTATTACTATTATAATTTTTGAAGTAAACTGTTAGACTAGAAGACAAATTGAGCATAAGACTATCGGCTCTATTTTAGCAACGAAAATTAGCTGTTCAGCCTAGCAGTTTTGATAAACTGCTGTACTGAATTGTGAGATATTTCGTTCTGCAGCTGAATTTAATTCTTCCATTAAAGGAAAAGTCTAGGCAGTCACAAAAAATATGCTTTAATGTAGGAATTTGTTTGCAATTACAGGTTGGTGAAAAAGACCTTTTTAGGATCCATTGGTGTGTCACAAATGTATGAACAAGGCGAATTCTCGCAAATCGATTCATCTTGAGTTTGTCGATATATGTTAGATATAGTTGTGGCACTATGTGACGGTTAACAGAGGACTTTTACTGACGCAGATCTGCTTCCGTAATTTCCTCCGCAAGTTTTCTTTCAATATATTTTTGAAGTTCCAACCTCTCCGTAATATCGCCCATAAGTAGGTGTACAGTAGCAACAAACTTCGCCGCTCGGTGAGTTTGCCCATTTTCCAGTAAACCGATACGACTAGGCAGACAAAGTGTTTTAATTTTATCACCGCATGCTATAGTTGTATTCTTACATTCGTTAGTGGTGGTCTAGCTCAAAGGTGGGGGATTCCGCATAAGCTCTTCATACAGACAGACAGAGCAATAAGAGTTTCGGGCTTGCTTTTATGAGCAGAGCTCATCACCGAAGCCAAGTATGTTCTTCAAAATTACAATTAAAATGATTAAATTTAATGAGAACAAATTGTTATATAATAACCATGCCTAGCTACGGTATCTTAGCATAAGCGACTAACTAAAATCTACGAATTAATAATTTTCAATTGATTGCTATTGTATCCTACTGCTAGAACACGGGTGTTACTTCAATCAGATTGCTGCACAATTCGTTACGTCATCTACATAGTTTGATGAAGACAAACCGAACGCATTCATCAAATTAGAATCGCATTACATTCGATATAAAGTTTTGTGAAAAGATTGCAAATCTTTTATCAGATACGTAAACATTCGTGATGTGTGCTTTAATTAGGAAATCGAAAACAAATACATTTCACGATGCGTATAGAGACGTAAAGCAAGCTTATAAACTAAATTGTTTTTTAGTTGACGGACAAGTGGTCATAAGATATTGATTGACGAACGATGAGCAAGCAGCTGTACATTTCGTCTGATATTTGTCTCCAAAATCACTAACACATTTATTTGTCATCAAAACTGTATGTATTTAAGGATGTCGAAAATGTTATACTGTACGTGTTATGACAACTACTTTAACGTAAAACGTTGTAAATGGCCAGGAAAAACACTATAGTGGGACACGGACCACCTTTAAATACCCTACATCGCAACTATTGTTATAAACACTTCTCGAAATCAAGCGTTACACGGAAAGTGATCGAAAAAGCGGTAGGACCCGAATCATTTTCGCTTACACTAGCCCTTGGAACAAGGCACACGGGTGTACCGATTTTCATCAAATTATCTCAAAAATTGCAAAAAAACCCACGATGGATATACGGACGGACAAGTTTAAATC